GGCCTCACCAGGGCTGAGTAGAGGGGCAGGATCACCTCCCTCGACCTGCTAGAGATGCTCTTCTTAATGCAGCCCAGGATCCCATTGGCCTTCTTGGCCACGAGGGCACACTGCTGCCTCATGGTCAACTTGTCATCCACCATGACACCCAGGTCTTTCTCTGCAGAGCTGCTCTCCAGAAGGTCGGTCCCCAGCCTGTACTGGTGTCTGGGGTTATTCCTCCCCAGGTGCAGGACCTTGCACTTGGCCTTGTTGAATTGCATGAGGTTTTCAACAAGGCCAAGTGCAAGGTTCTGCACCTGGGGAGGAATAACTATTAAGGAACTGTTAGTTACTGAGATGCTAGCCTGCATTATTTTTAAAACATAAAACCTCCTCTAAGGAAACAGCTACTTTATTAATGTTACTGATATCCTCATTTCTTTTTCTCTATATGCAGACAAAAGAAGCTATTAGACACTGTGAAGAATTGGTTGGTGGGCCTGAGAGAGAAAAATATAGGAGTAGATGCCATTTTTCTATATGAAGCAGCTATACCTTTCAAAATCAGATGAAGTTAATTAATCTGAGCTTGTTTCAGCAAGTGGAAGTGACTGATTGTCCTGTTCCCAGGCTGATTACACAGAGCTGAATGTACAGGCAAACCCGACTGTTGTGTCCTGTCTAACACAGCGCGTGCACAAACACAAGTTGCAGGAATTCACTGCGATGGCCTTGCTGCTCTCCGAGCAGGACAGGCCAGACAGCTGCACACCCTGGGGCTTCTAGTTGTATCAGTTTGCATCTTCCAAGCCTACCCTGTGACTTTCAAATTTGTGACCCCAAGAATCCTCCAGGCACACCAGGAAAAATACAGATACGCTTTTTGCAGTCAAGTTACTCATTTTAATCTTATTAAGCATAGCAACAACAGCTTCCATTTTGTTATAACAGCTATGCTTATTTAACTGCTTTCATTTCTTTTTTGACCTTCAGGAAAATTCAAAATATATCAGGAGATATGTCCAAGTGAAGAGTTGGTGAGTGTGTGTGTGCGGGAAAGGGAAAACTCATGCTGTTTCATTGCATAACCTGGCCTAGATTTGCCTTAAAGAGAATTTAAGTTCACTTGAAACTCAAAATTACTTTAAACCAAAATGTGAATAAGTTAGTGCCATGGGTCTTTCTAGTTCTGGTTTCTAGGATGTTCTAAAAACGAACAGAAATGATGTGTACTAAAAAGGAGATGGGCAAAACATTTGCAAGTTTACATCTTACATTTGGAGAATAAGAGCCCTGATACATGTTAGTTTAGGTTAACTCACAAAGTCATAAAAAGGGCTGCAAAACAACATGCCTTGTGATACTAAAAGAAAGCATCATTTTCTGAATTTACCAGGAGAAATTAATCTGACCTTAATTAAAAGGTCAGATTGCCCAATACTCATTGTAATTAGTATCCACAGAAGGTCATAAGCATCTTTGAAAAGGCTATTAGATACCTTAAAAGATATTTAGGCACTTAATATAAGGGATATTAATACTGCTTTGTTTGCAGGTCTTTATATAATTACATCTATATCAAAGACACACACTGAAAAAGCTTATTTCACACACCACTGACTCCGGAGCATTTTTGACAACTGTGTAGCCATCATTTTTTTTGCTAAGTTATTTGCATGTGTATTGTGTTGCAGATTATTCTTGGGGCTTAAATTCCCTTAGTTAAGAAAGCAGAGATTATTTCATCAATGGGATATGTTTGCTAGTAAGACATGTTTTGTCCACCAGTGACTACATACCAAGCTTTAGTTATCAAAACCATCCCTGTGGCCAGAACTGTTAAATGAATGTCTGGTACAACAGCTGGGTTAGGGCAGCCATCTGCTCTGCTACTTAAAGCCTTTTCATCTGGAAGAAAGTTCAGGAACAGCAAACGAAGTAGACAGAATCCTTCCACAGAAAACTCACTGTTCCAGTTAAAAGGATAATACAGGATCCACAACCAAGACTAGGGATTGACTCATAGCTATAGTTGCGGACAGGTAATAAAAGGATCTGCCTCAAAGGGCTCAACTTTAAGAAACAGTAAAATTAATTTTAATCCCTAACAAAACTGTAGGGTATATTTTCCTCAAGTACAATGACTGTTATTCCTTCTTTCAGTTTGCTGAACATTTTCAGCAAGAGGCCCATGATCTTATGTCACTGTATGCAGAATTCATTTGCGTTCATCACATCAGTCGAAGACAGGTCCCGGCTGACTGTCCTCCTCACCCAACATTTGCAAGCACTACTCAGGCCGCCCATCTATTCAGCATTAAGTGATTTTGCAGGGGCTGCTTTGAGAGGTTTGAAGCAAGGCTCTCCCTGTCGCGGTCAGGGCCACTGAAAGGAGCGGGAGCTGAGGACCAGTTGGAGGGAAGGCTTTTCAACAGTTACATGAACCAGTAGGGTGCAACATACAAACAAAACTGGATGCCACCAAACATCTTAGAGAAAGATATATCATATACCTGATGCTGCAACATCTGCAATAGGTCTCTTTGTGACATTTGCCATGAATCCAACAATGGAGAAGATGACAAAGCCAGCAAACATGCTTGTGCATGAATTTATGCAGCAGACTATGATGGAATCCCTGAAACAAAGGTAAGGTGCTTTAAGCAGTAGGTAAGGCAACGCTGCTGTACATCAGTATAGTACTGCTGTCCTGTGGAGAGGCTTTTGCGAGTACATTTCATGATTTAGGGCTTCATAATTTCATGGTCTGGGCTCCATTTCACACTGAACAAGACATATTGTCTCTCCCATTAGTATAAATGACATTACACATCTTGCTCCTACCTAGTTAGGACATTCACTTTCTAAATTAGAGACTATACTTTATTTCACTGATACAGAAAGCCAGAATGCGGCCCCAGCTGGAAGAGGAAGGCACTGGCCTAGCACGCGCAGCCAGCTGCTTACCTGTAAACATTGTTGTGGAAAGGGTTGTAGCTCCCTAGGGCAATCAGTGACCCAAGGCCCAGACCGTACGAGAAGAAAATCTGTGTGGCAGCATCCAGCCAAACCTGATTATAGGAAATAATTTTTTTAAAAAATCTCTTTCTACACTTGAGGAACAGATCATATTTCTGAAACAGGAGCAATGAGCACTGGCACTTTTGCTTATAGGGATTAAATATTTACCTCAGAGTCGGAAAGCTTACTGAAGTTGGGAGTTATGTAGAATAAAATGCCTTCCTTTGCTCCAGGCAGTGTTACACCACGGAAGAACAAGATAAGCAGCATAACATAGGGATAAGTAGCAGAGAAATACACCACCTAATGTAAAGAAACAAGACATTGTGACTGAATGTAGAAGGAAGAGTGGTCCACGTACAATCTCTCTTCAGAAAACATTTGCTTCCCCAAAACTACCATAACAGCAACTGAGGCAGACTGTTAAAAACTGAAGCATTTATCAAGGGGGAGCTTAGTAGAGCAAGGACAGGACTGAGGGGAGAATGCCCTGCACACCATGGCAGGACACAGCACAGGTCTTGCAGAGCACTTTTCTGGAGGAGGAAGAGAGTAATTGAGTGGATGAGGATGGTTTTGCATCAGTGGCTCATGTTTCACTTTTCTGTTTTTGTTTTTTCAATCCCCACATGAGGAGCTCACAAAAGCACAGAGTTCATGGTTCCAATGCTCCTTGTAGGATATCAGTCATCCTTTTGCTGTCAGACAGCTTGTCTTATATTCTCCATACTCTCCATCTGTGTTTATGATATAATTGTTATACTGACTTCTATTCTCTTGTTTTTTCAAAACCTCTATAAAAAGTCACTATAAAAGCAGATTCCCAAGCAACCAAGTCAGCCTTCATTTTGCCACCTTCTTTGCAAATAGGAGAAATGAGGCAGCTAGGGATGAAATTCTGTATAGTGTTTGCAGTTTGCTGGAATGAGCAGACATATTTTTAGGCAATTCAATATAACTCTGGCTTAGCTAAGCATTTATGGACTGACTTTAAGCAAACATCATCCCAGGCTGTGGTCAGAACTAGCTACAGAGGAGCCAGCTTTCAGGAACATGGTGCCGCATCAGTGCAAGTAGGAGAGCAATGCAATTCTTCACAGAGCTTTTCCAGTCTCTAGTGTCTCTTACCTCATGAATTTTCAGGATATTTGAGTAAAATGGACATTTGTAATGTATTTGCAGCAGTATTTAATCTTACCTTTCCAGTCCAGCCTACCCCCTTCCAGATACAAAAATACACCAGAATCCAGGCAATTGCCAGAGTAATTGCTAGTGGCCATCGGATTTGCCCTGGTTTTTCCAATCCATCAGTCATTTGGTGCATGTTGCGTCTAGAATCAGCAAACAGAATAGTGCATTTGACAGCTGCTAATTCAGAAGACAGTACATGAACTACAACAAGCTGAACCTTGCATATGCCCCAAAATGATATAGAGAAAAAATTCGCAGCTTACTCCCAGAATTCGACCACGGCACTTGTCATGTTGGTAGTATTTGCTAAGGTGTAGTTGGAGAAGCAGCGGTCAGTGTTCCACGGGTTCTCACAGTGTTTCCAAGGAAGAGTCTATTTAAGAGGAAAAACAAACACACACATTTTTAAACTCAGCATCATCTCGGGTATCTCTCTCCTTACTAGAAGTGACAGCTGAATTGAGACCGAATATTCAAGCTCTGTCGTGCACTGATCACCCTGGGGTGCACACCTGTCCCATAAGCTGTTTAACAGTGTATAAAGTATGTGAATCAGATACGAAAATACTCCTTCCATTCTCCAAGAGCATTCCAGTGGTTTCTACTGAAATCTGTTATACTCTAGCATTTCTCTTAAGGGGATGACTGGCTGCCTATGGGCTCAAAGGCACAGGGATAGACTAATCTTGAGAGCATTGTCAGGCAAGCAGCACTAGTATAAGTGAAGGGATGCTCATGAAAGGTGGGTGGCCATGAGCCTTGAGAAAGAGGAGAAAATTTAAACAAATAAGGTAATAGAATCTTGTGGCTCCAAAACAAGCTTTTAGTCTGCTTCTCCACTGACATTGTTTGAATGGAGTGGTTTTCTTCAATTTTATATCCCACATTGATTGTGGAGAGGACACGTGGGTTTTTTTGTTTGTTTTTTGTTGTTTTTTTTGTTTTTTGTTTTTAATAAAGTTTGCATTTAATATGAAATGTTTCATCCAACTGGATTTGTATGCATTTTACATTAAGACCACACCTTTACATTGAGGTAGATGAATCAGCTGTCACTTCCCTTTTCATTAAACAAGCAACTCCCCTCATCCCACCCAGCACTTACAGTGGTGAAGGAGTTATACAGGTAATATATAGCCCATGAAATAATCACGATGTAGTAAATATTTAGCCAGAAAGAAAGAACTGCAGCAGCTAGTCCCACACCTAGAAAGAAAGAAAAACAAAGTGACTTGCAGCAATGTTTGTACGAGCGATAGTTCAAGTCTCTTGCAGAGTTCTGCCAGTGTGGCCGAGTAGCTGCAACGTACAGGGTAGACACCATTTACTAAAATCTACAGAAACTGGGTTTGAATTTTAAAAGTACCATCACTAATTTGGGTGACTGTTCATCTCTAAGCCCACTGCTGGTGTTCCCAATGTGATGTAGCAAGCAGTCTCAGCTTTTGCTGGCTGAGATTTTACAGGATTTCTTTTACGCTCAGGGCAGAGAACTAACTCACTCACTGTCTGAAGCACCAGTCTCATAGCAGCTTCTGACAGATTCACACAGGCTGTGTAGGGGTTACAGGAACAGTGAGCCCTCCGCCACCCCAGCACAGGTGCTTAGTGCTATAGATAACGCTGCGCCACCTCAGCCAAAGACATTAGTCAGGGCTCCCCCAATGAGGCAGCCTTCTCTGCTAGTCCACACCAAGACTTTAGACGTATTTGAAAAGAGTCGGGCTGGTGACAATTGCCACACGGCATTAAGCAAGGAGAGCTACTCAAGATATTCAGCATAAGTCCAAGCAAAGACTACAGATTGAATTGGGCCCCTTACACACATTTGTAACTCGAGCAAACTTAAAACGCTTAGAAATGAGAAATTTTTTTTACATCTGTCTAGGTTTTCTCCAAACAAAATTTCCTAGAACAGAATCTACTCTAAAAAGATGTTTAGCTCAACCTATGAAAACTGTTAATGCTACTGTGTGCATGAAGCAGTGTGTAACTAATAATATGTTACTTGTTTCTCTGCTGGTCCAGAATTCAGCTCGGGAGCTTTTGAATGTCAAAAGAGTTGGGGATTGGAGGATGAAAAAAACGGAGAGTGTGAGACTTGTGCCACTGGGCAGAATCCGGACTAAACTTTAGAGGTTCCAGTCATGAGAAGCCCAAAATAGGTAAGAACTTAAGCGTAGAATGACTTTATCTTGCATAATTTAGCATGAAATCACCACCTTTAATATTATCTAACCTTTGTGCTTCAATACAGAACAAAAGGGGAATACACACCCTTGTGACCTGGAATAGAAAGAATCTTTCAACGCAGTGGCTAAGTAGGGAAGCCTCATACCTGCTCAGACAATTATTGCTAGACTTAAAATGCTATTTGGAACAGTCTTCACACGTTTCTAACAAAAATAAAAGTTCAGAAACAAGCTTGTTGACAATCTAATGCCTGAGAATGAGTAATAGTCTAACCTGTTTCAAAATTGTCAGTTACATCTCAGAAATTTAGAGATTTCTGTGGAAAATTATGTTTCAAGTAAAAAAATTAATCTACAAGAAAATGTTGTCCTTGCACTGTCATTTTGTGCAACTTCTGCAACTTGGAAGGAACTGTGAGGTAATCCAATTTCATACTGTACCTTTGAACATGGGAGCAAGCTTCCACACTCCAAGGCCCCCTATAGATGTATACTGGCCAAGGGAACACTCCAAAAGAAATAGCGGCACTCCAGCAAAAATTAAAGTAAGAAAATAGGGAATCAAGAATGCACCTAAAGAGAAATAACAAAAAAACTATTACAGTGAAAAAAAAGTACTGCTGTTTCCCGTACTTCCTTATTTATATCTGAAAGCAAACACCTTTTTTTTTTTTTCCTCCCTCTATATAACCACTCAAAACAGAGAAGCACCTTTCTGAAAGAGTATCTTAAGGTATGAAGGTGAAACATGTGTTTTCCGATCATTTAGGCAACTTAAGTAGAAAGCTAAAATAGAAGCATGATGTATTTTGTTGACTACATCTATCACAACAGCACACACATAACGTAAAAGCTTTAACCAGAACTGGCTGTTTCTAGCCTCTGCGCTCATTTAAAAAACTGAAACAAAACACCCACCTGTATAAATGAGAAAGCTATTAAAACGGGGTTTTTTTTAACTGGTAATTTTCACAGTGGATTCCAAAACACAAGCATGCTGGGGATAAGAAGGAATCAGCAAGCATACCTCCGCCATTCTTGCCACAAAGGTACGGAAATCGCCACACATTCCCTAAGCCAATGGCATAACCTACACAGGACATAAGAAAGTCAAATTTTCCTTTCCAGGTATCTCGGTCTGGAAGATCTGTCTTCTTCTTCTGCACTTTTACTACCAAGGTTTTAGGCTTGTCATTAGTGATGGAAGCGTCGCTGACTTCTGTGGCGATCTGTCCGTCCGCCACCTTGGTGCCGTTGGTGGCCATGTCGCGGGGTTTGGCTGGCGACGCTCTGGCGGCCGGGCGGGAGATGTCGGCACCGGTCCACGTGGACAGCAGCTTTGCGGTCGCCTTCCCAGCTAGGGACTCACGGGCCCAGCGGAAAAAATCGAGCAGAAGCCCCTGCACGTGCCTAGTGCCGGGGTGGGCTGGGAGCTACCACGGAACCTGCACCAGCTGCCGGAGTCACCTGCAAAGCACAAGATCAAACAACTCAGAGATGCTGCTGCAGCACCACAGGCCACCCAAGTACCCCTGCTGCACAGAGACCTTGTCGCCAAAAGTCTCAGAATTAAGGTCTTATCTACACGCTTGTCTCTGCCTTGGGACACTTATTGACCCAGTCAAAGAGGACCAGAACTGATACAGTGATGCCAAAATACCTCCTAGGCAGATACCCATCGTTTACATGCAGATCTCCTGTGACTCTACAGAAACTAAATATTTTTAAATCGCAGCATACGTAGTATATGTGTACTTTACATTAGGCTCCAAAGCTCACAGGAGAGAAGAGGGAATCACAGTGAAAGGTGGCACTGAGGCTGCTCACGTGCTCGTCATTGAAGAACGCTACTCTCAGCCCTCATTCTTTAGCAAGAGGCTTCCATGGAGCACTTCTGCCAATAAAAACAAGGCGATGTCTTTTCAGAGACATACCATCTCCATGGGCAAGTGCGTATTTCTGTTTCTAGAAAAGATACATCAGTAATGACATTTTTCTTTAATAGTTGAAGCACTCGGACAATGAAGCTATTCCATTTAATTGCTCTACTTTTACAAAGCTGAAGGGAACTTCTCATGATTATAAAGTTGCCTTATTTATAAAAACAAAGTCACCATCACTACATCCACCAAGAAAAAGCACTTGCTACCAGTAAGAGTGAATTTAAGGAGTTACAAAAAGCGTACATTTATCTAAAACACTTTCACCCCAAATGGATTAAACAATAAACCATCTTAAGCAACAGGACTTAATCCTGCGCAGTTACGTACCTTTCATACGTAGTTATAATTAGTTGTTAGCAAAACACAAATGATTCACTAGTCTTACACTGCTTATAATTCTTTGTTGTAAGATTGCAAATGCAGGGTTCTAACAGGCTGCAATAATCATCCCATAGTTTCTGTTTCCTACTGCAGACTCCATTCTTACTCCTTTTCAATAGCAATTATTGGTATTGAATCAAAATTCTATACAAATTCAATTTTAAAAAAGGAGAATGAAGAAAGCAAATAAATGTTATGAAAAATGAGCTGGAATATTTCCAGTCAATTCTGAAGCGTGCAAATCCCCTAGACTTCCAGAGCCCGACTTAACTAGAAGAAACAGCAAGCTAGTGTCTACTTTATACCTACTTGCAACCAGTTTCTTGCTTAGTCCCTCCCATTACCGTCTTTTCCAAGTTGCCAGTCCCCAGCCCTCAAACAGGAGTCTGCAACAGGAGAGACATGTTGCACTGCAGAGCTGCATGAGCGCTGCTTGCCAGTGAGGAATGGCACTGTCAGCAGTGCTGGTCAGGAGCTCACTCAAGGATCGTTAATAATTTTAATTACAAACATTAATAAAGGCAGATTGAGTTCATTGCCCTTTCACTTGTAGTTCTAACTTGCATCAAAAGAAACATAAAGCAAACATTTAAAGACTCTGGTGTAAAGAGGGCTTTTCTCAGTTCAGATCGCTGTATGATCATATTGCTTTCTTATCCCCCACAAACTCCAGGCCACATCCAACAGGAGAACAGACTTCAATGGGGCACTGAAGAGGAATCAGCTTTAGGTTTGCTGACATGAGCATGGAATAAAGGATGATGCTCATAAGCTCTCTCACCTACCCAAGGGCTGGACTCAATGTGGGAAACTACACCTTGACCGTCATGACACATCCCCCGGTGTCTGCATTTCAGTGCAAGCCTGTCCAGTTCTGGGCAGCAGGAACTGCCATTCCTGGACACAGTCTAGTTCTGCTTAGTGCCTTCTACTTGGGAAACATGCATCTCTTGGGGACAAATTAGCAAAACTCTTAAGGCACTGCTGAGATGCCCCAAGTTCTACGTGATTTAAGAACATGGGGTTCTTAAGATGTCAGAACTTGATTTTTCCCCATTTTTACACCATGCTCACCTTCATGCTTTTACTGGGTGCACTCTCCTTCGACCTTCCTTGCCAGTTTTCTCCATCATTTAGCTGAAACTATTTACTTCAATTCTGGGGCTTGGAAAAAAATTTTCCTTCCTGTGAGACATGGCTGGCACTGTGCTCCTATCAGAGATGAAGGACATCCAGGTGTGAGAAGATGAAGCAGAAGCTCCTGCTTCAACACAGTCATCTTTGGCAGGGAGAAAAATAAAACAGCCAGTAGGCCCTCATCTCCCTCCCATTCTTATCAGGCTGGTGAAAACTTTTAGAAAGAAAAACTTGTGCCACCATCCAGAAGTGCCATGGCAAGTCAGAGCCTGGCTTCTTCACAGCCTTGGGGTTAAAATGAAGGACAAAATTTTCCTAACTAAATGTGAACCCCCACAAGGAGCCCTTTACCCGAGCTGGCTGCTCCTGGCTCCCTCATGAGTGAGGTTTGCCTGCACCAGCTCCTGGGGGAGCTCCACAGTGAAAGCGGCACTTCCAACAGCAGGGCCTGGGAAAGCAAAGGAGCCTCCGGACACTCTAGGACTTTTACTGGCCTTGTTTATACTAGATTGGATTTTTTGTTGTTGCTGGAATTTATATTTGGTCTGTGTTTTATTGTCCTCGGGAAGCTTCCAAGTCTGCAAAAGGCTGAGTGAGGTGGGAAGGGTGGGAGCATCCTCCCTCTCCCTCAAGCCCCATCATCAGAGCAGGGCCGCAGAGAAGGACAGGGCTGAATGTCCAGGTGCCTCCCTGCCCTCCCGCTCTTTGCAGCCTTGCTGTGCAGGGGAGCAGGACCTGCCTCTGCTGTCACAGCCCCAGGGGTGCTCAAGTAAAGCTCCATCAATCTGGGCACTTGGGGGTATGTATTAATGTCTCCATTGAATAATATGTTTAAGAAAATATGACAAACCAGGGAGTTAGCTAGAAACCCTTCAATAGTAACATAAAGAAACAGGGATTTTGTGGAGAGCACTCTTGGTTGGAGGATGATGCCCAGATGCAGTTCAGCACTATAAGCAATGCTGAATGCTGACAGAAGCTTCCACAATGCCCTAATAAAACAAGCCAAGCCTGGCATTTTCCATATTAAAAGGGATAGAAAGCACTGGTTACAAACCAATGGCATGGTGACTGGAGCTTGACTCCATCACCCTGCACAAGCTCCAGGAACCACTTTATTGCACACCCTGCAAGCATGGAGAATGCTCAGGTACTGCTGAGCCCAGGGATGCAGCAGAGGCTCCTTCTCCAGGGACAGTGGTGAGGACAGGCCCCGTTGCATCTGTTCTGAGCTGGCAGTGCCCCCTGGTGCCAGCTGGGGACCATGCTGGACACTTTAGTGGCAGTAGTGTGAACACATGGACAATTGTGCATCTATGGTCAGGTGGCAAACCTGTGTCAGACCAAGGGAAATATGATTTATTTCCACTGTTTAAAACTACAATTTCTCCCAAGCTATATAACATTTTCCCCCATAATAATGACAAGCAACTGCACTAATAAGATCAGCCCTAACTTCCAACCTGCCTCCTTCACACACTTCTCCCCGACTTCCACACAGCGCTCCAGAACACGAGCTGGGGCCAGGGCAGGAGAACTACCTGGAAGGCTAATGCGATTAGGCAATATCTCACATCACTGGGCTTTACATTGAAAATTGGCCTGACGTGGAGGAGGACAGGGAGGCTTATGTAAGCTCTGGGGGTTGTCTGGGGAAAGTGAAAGACTAAGGACAGTTTTCAGGCACCCAAGCAGGTATCACTGTTGCTCTGCAGCACTGTGCTGGGTGCGATGCAGACAGAGGGGTCTTCGGGACAGGTCGGTTTGATGCCCCAGCTCCTTCCTGCCAGCCCTGGAGTGCTGTGAAGGGCAGGGTTGCTTCCCAGCACATTCCTCAGTGCACAACAGGGCTTCCTTGACACCAGGTACCAGGCCACAGAGCCAAGGGGAAAGGAAAGGTCCTTGTGCACAGAGTGGCCAAGGTAATGAGGGAAACTAAAACGAAGAGTGACACTTCATTAATCCAAACATTTTTCTTTCTCATTATCTGAATACAAGTAGATCTGAAGAGTTTAAAGAAAATTGGCTGCATATAAGCACAGCAATATTGCTGTCATTTTTCACAAGTGATATCAAAAGGCCAAGAACAGAGTTGAAGCCCACACAGGCAGCTGGACAGCCCAGTCCCTTGAAAAGATGAATCTCTTATGTTCAAAGCTCTGGGAGCCCCTGCAGCTCCACAGAAGTCAAGACTGAGACAGCTCCATTCAGCTGGATCTGAGAAAATGCTGTAACACAAAACACTGTATTGGCTTTGCACAGCTTTGATGACACTATTCCTCTAGCTTGGATGGACCTTCAGTTCAACCCACTGCATCCCAAGTTATTTGTCCTGACTTGTCCTATTTGTATGGGACAACTGAGTTTGAAGAACAACATATAAACATCAAGTTTCACGTCAAAATGCATATCCCATGTCAGTGTCTTGGAGTATATGGAATGAGATTAAAATATGGCAAGTGTATGAAAGAGGACAGCTGAGCTCACTGGACTCTGCTCAGCAATGCCACAGGTAGAGCTTTGCTTCATGGTTTCGTAGGAGGGATAAGAGCTGCAAGCTGTAACCAAACTACGGGGCACACCAGCTGTTAACACATATGCTGTGTTACTACATATACATAGTAGAAATCCATATGCATTGAAATTGGCACTACTGAACTTTCCTGCTTTACACACTATTTAAAACCTGGCCCTTTGACTCACTTTTGAAGATCTGCACAGTGTGTCCATGCTGCTTTTCACCTCGTGCAGTGCTCGCTGGCCCAGCCTGCCAGCACACACCTGCTTTTGTGCGAAAATGCAAATTGAAAACATATCTAAAGAAAACCAAAAGCAAACAAACAAAACATACACACATGGATTGTGTTTTGTGCAAATATATTTGTGGAA